GTTTCAATATTAGAAAACCTTCTGTCTTATGAATATCTTTCTTCTTTCGATTGTTGTGTCACTTGTCCTGCTGGCCTGCTCAAACCCTTTGCCACCTGAACATGTTGAAACAATCTGTCTACCCTTCAGGCTTTATTTACTCATGTGGGAAACACAATCGCTCATCAAAGATGCCCGGGAGGGAGATATAAGTGGGAGGCAAAACGAAAGCAAGGACAGAATAAAAGGCTGGAATGAACAAGAGCAGCAAAGAACAATGCCAGCTAATTAGAGCAGCCAGAGCGCAGCAGAACAAACAACTGATGATTTCAAAAGAAGAGTCTGTCTTTCAGAGATAAATTGGAATGAAATAAGCCTCATCTCATGCATGAAATGGTATGTAGTTGTCTTAATAATCATTTCATTTAACGGTTTTTTATATCTGCTGCTGTATATTACATCTGGAGCTCCTTAAAGTTAACAACTCCTATTTAATCAGTAATGTCATCTGTGTCCAGACACATGAATCCAGCCAGTCAGCTTTGCATGGCCTTCTCAAGAAGAAGCTGGGTCTGTGTGACAGCTTTGCCCTTTCCAAAACAGGAGGGTAACAGCTGACTCTGGAATCAATTACCCTGGATTTCTTACCACTACACCCTGCACAGAAGACAGTTTTGCTCCTCCTTTATAATGAGGTCAGAACCAGATCAGCACTGACCTCATATGAACCACGGGATGCCAAGAGAAGATTGATGCGGAAGGTGGATATTTGCAAAATCACGTCTCAAATATTAAACAGTAAAGTCAGGTACGATGAGCAAACAAGTTCCAAAACAGCGGTGGTAAATCACCTAAAAGTGGAGGATCTTAAATTTAGTTATGGACTGAAGCAATTGGTCGAAGCTCTGCAATATGTGAGATCTTCAGGCTGATCTTAATTTCAATAGACAACTTGTCATTTAACACATTATGTGCAGACACTTTATTACGTGGCATTATAAAGTCATCATAGTGGTAAAGCATTACTGAACCTTGCTTTTCCAGATCTTTTATATATGAGTTCCAGTAACAGTATCAGGGGTGTGGGAAAACAAGGAGGTGGACCCAAGTGCAGAATAAACTAATAAAACTATTTATTTAAACAAAAAGGCAAAAACTAAAACTTTCTATCAAAATGTCCAAACTGAGAAAATCCAAAAATTGACAAGCACTGACAAACACTAGGAAACACTGACACTCCAACATACAACAAACAACACTGGCAACTTACAACAATGAACTGACACAGGAGGGAAGAAACACTGAGACTAAATAGACACAGGGTAATCAAACACAGGTGAGACTAACAAGACACAGGTGAGGACAAAAAGGGCAATCACACTGGGAAACACACAGAGGCAGGAATACAAGAAACACTGAGGACAACTACAAACTAAATCATGAAACACTAGACACCCAGAACTCAAGAATCTAACAAAGCACACTAGAACACAGAGATACACGATGATAATAAATGACAAAGTAAAACAGAAAACACTGAAGACAAAACTAGGAAATACACAAGGGAAACAAGCAACACTGGGATAAAACAGGGAAACTCAAATACAAAACCAAATCATGACAAACAGTTTCACTGGCACCACTCAAAGAAAAGAAGAACAGGATATCGTTTAAATAGATGAGAGTTTTCATCCATTACTTAAACATAGCTATTTCCACTAGGTCTATTTATTTATTTATTTATTCATCCATTATTTTTAGCTAACTATTACAACTTGTTAGCTGTTACTTTAAGCTAACTATTTCAATTGTTTTTCCATCAGTTGTCTATTTTCTTACCATTTCAACTGTTAAGCCCTCACTTTGAGATAACCTTTTCACAGTTTAGCCTTCACTCTGAGCTAACTAAACTTTAAACCCATGACTTTCAGCTTTCTACTCAACTGCTAATCCTTTTCCTTTGGCTAACTATTTCAAGTCTTTAGTCATTCTATCAATCAATAAATCAACCAGAGTTCAACTGATTAAATAAATCAATCAATTACTCTAAGCTAACTGTTTTTTACTATTCATCCAATACTCTGCTTCCAATTTTAATTGTTACATAACCGTGTGATCCGTAACAGGTTAACTATTCTAACTTCAGCTAACCATGTAAACATTTGTCTCTTGCTTCTAACTGAACATATCTAGTGTTTGTCTTTTCCTTTTATTTAATTATAGACTTTTTTCTTACATACTATTAGCCGTTCTGATTACTCTTTACTTAAGGAAAACCTTGAACCTATTTGCCTTCTCCCTTGTTTTCACAAACCCACAACCCAAAGGTAATGTTAATGTGTTACAACTGTCTCAGGTGTAGAGGTTCACACAAAGATCACACCAATTTGTATCACTCTTTGGCTGTTTATTTTTTTACTTAACAGATGTGTTGTTATCTGTTTGTCAAATCATGCTTTACATTTTTTTTGTTGAATAAGTTGGTATGTGTTACTAAGTTGAGCCTGCCACATAACCCTTAAAGCAACTGCAGAAGTTCCACCCGTTAAACAAGTACCCACATGATGTGGAAAGCATAACAACCGGTAGAGGTAATGTAAATGATTATAAATGTTGACCAAGAGTCCTCAATTAATTATCATATGTTTTCATACATTGCATCTGTCTGTAAGCCATATTGAATTATATACAAAGGAACAATTTGGAGAAAAACTGGAGCATAGGAATTCATGTGATCTCACAAGGGCTGAATGGAGCACAGTAAAGTCAGGACAGTTGTTTTGGTCAGAGGAAGCAGCTGCAGAAAAAAAAGGTAAACAGGCAGATGCTCAGGGGTGGGGTGCAGTTAGGGGGGGATCCATCTTGCCTCGCCGCTGTGTCTCTGTGCAGGGATGATAAAGGCAGTGGATGCACACACAGGAGTCTGTCTGAGCCTCCACACAAACTCCAATATGTGCACATTCACTGAATAAACAAAAACTGTGCATGTGATTTTATTTTGTGTATTGCCTCAGAGAGCCATGAAAACGAAACTCAAAGAAATGTGTTTGCAGTCGTCAGAGGCGTGTAGTTTATGTCCAACTGCAGGCTCTATGATATTGAAAAATCAAAGGCCCCTGTTGTTTTTAAAAAACACAATAAAAAGGAGATTGCAGAAACATACTGCTGTCTTGAATAACACATTCCATCATTTTAAAAACTTTCTTCCTTCTACAACCATATTATGCCACAGTTATTGCAGCTCGCTCAGAGTGGAGTGAATGTTGCCCTTGAATTTGCTTCTTCACTTACCCAAGAACTAAAGAAAGAGCACAGTGAAAAGAGTCCAAGTTAATGCAGTGATTGGCTACTAAAAGCAAGTTAGAGAGAAAGACTACAATGGAGGTCCTTTCCAACACGATGAATTATGTTAGTAAAAGTGAACAAATCTGCAAGCTGCAAATTGTTGGACTGCTTAAGAGCTTATTATTTACAGGTTTATAAGCAAACATGCAGACAAAAGTAGATCTTTACCATGGTAAGTAGTCAATTTTCCATTTTTGCATAGTTAAGGTTATGACAGCTGGGAATAAAACATTTAGTATTATATGCAAGGGTCATTGGGAGAGATGCTCTCTCCTGGTTAGACCATTTGTAAACTCAAGAAAACTGTATACACTTTAAATCCAAGCAACCTGCTGTTTCCTCTGCTTTGTCAGTTTAGTTATGCAACTCGAGTTATCAAGATTCAACCCTCTTTAAGATGAAATAAGTAGCAATTGTATTAAACACAGTAATATGATCGCTACTTATAATATCATTAAAAAAAAAAAACCTCCTTTGAAACTGTCCTCAAGCCCTGACTTTGTTTTAGGTTTAGAGAGAGATAGATTTCGGTGTCTAGCACCAGGCATATGGCGGTAAATCACAGCACTGTATGGCGGTGCACCTTAAGTGTTTACAACTTACACAGTTAGCCGCGGCTTGTGAAATAAAGAACCAGTTTTTATTGTAAGCCACAATTTTTGTAGCTTAGCTAGAAAATTAAATTAGAACACAGCAATAAAGGATGAGGCGGAAAAATGTAATCGGGCTATGAAATTGTCTCACAGGCCAGATTTGGTGATTTAGACACCTTCTTAAAGACAATTAATTTCATCTGTGTCACCCATCTTTGCAGAAAAATGTTTATTGTGACATTTGACGATTTAAGTGTGACACAGATGTGAAAACTCAACACCTAAGAGAGTGGTAATCAAATTCTGTTGTGCTCCCATAGTCCTAACATACCTGCTTGATTTATAAATTATCAAAAGCTAAAGTATAACACGGTCCTTCAGAATATTATATGTCTCATGATATGTTCTGTCCCGTGACAAACCCACACCATCACTACTTATATATTAAAGTGTCTTGTTATCTTATCAGTCATAGGACACAAGCCTCATTTGTTAAATAAAATAAAAACTAGTAGGCAAAGCTAATTCAATTTATACAGCACTGCATCAACAAGACATGGATGTGTTCACATGAGTAACCTGTTTGTTGTGTGAATGTGAACTAGCACCCCTCCGAGACAGCATCATCATGTTTGCAAGACCATCATTATTAGCTTGTTTGCATTCACAGCCCCTCCCAAGTGGCAGCTAAAGCGAGAGATGCTGTCAGGCAGCCTGGCGGAAAGGCAGCCTCGTCAGCAAATATACTGTAACAAGAAGGCAGCCAGACACTGCTTCTGCCTGTCTGGCTCCTCAAATATGATTGTTGGAAAAGGTTGTCCTGCTAAACATTATCAGTGAAACCTGCCCAATTTCTTCCACTCCACCAGTAGAAGTGAGAATACCTTTTATATCAGAATGGTAGAAACAAGACCACAGAGGGCTCGTATTTGGAAAGCTGCAGAACTATGAAGTATTATATTAAAGTTATAGATCCACTACCTGCAGCGATTAAAACATAGATTGGAGGCAGACAACTGCAGAATAATCGATAACATAAAAAAGTGCCTTCTCTAAAAGATGGACATGTTCCTGGAAGGTGACAGCTCTTGGCTGTGATGGCACACCTGACACTAACCTTCTTTCTAAGATGCAAGCAGATGTCCTGCTGGCTCTGCCGGTCTCTGTGGAGCTCCAGCTCCTCCTGGTGGGCATGTCTCGCCTCCTGCAGGGTGAACAGGGCTCTGGCCAGCAGCTCTTCATGGTCCCGCTGCCATTGCTGGGTCACTACCTTCAGCTGTGCCTGGGTGAAGCGCTGCCAATCCAACACACGTTCATGCTCAGTCTGGAACAAGCATGGAGAAGACACTGTTTTCAAATGAGATGTTACAGCTCAATGTCTACACTCATTGGTGCCTTTCATTTTCATAAAAAAAAAACATAGAACAAACATAAATAAAGAAGCGGCGCATTAGATTGAATTACCATGATATTTCAAACAGTGTTGTACCAAATTGATGACAATCCAAACAGACACAAACACCCTTACATGATATACCATCTATAATAATGCAGCTCCACAGGGAAAACTCTGTGTCACATTTAGATCTGCTGGTGTATAAAATGGTCCGTCTCTCCTGGCTGTGAAATGTCCTGAAGGAAAACAGTTCCTTTCTGTGTGAGGGTTGCCCGTAGCTATTCATCATTATGTCAGCACTCACAGAGGCTGCATCACTTGGCTGCTTCCCTGGAACAGAGGGAATGATATTCATCTATGGGCTAATGGCGGCTAACTGACGGTGGGAAGGCATTAGGCGGCTGACTGGTTTTATTGAAAATGAGTGAGCTGACAGACCTGCCAACTGAACAGAAGTGCCAGAGCCATTCAAGCAAATCCTGTTTATTAATGCACAACTTTAGAAGTTGAGTGAGATCCACCTTTTGTTCCTCACTTTCTCCTGCCCTCTCCTTCAGTAGCATCGCCTGCCTGACACTTGTCGTGCAATGTGTGTTCGCACATTGTCATGCATGCACTTCAGCCAACACATTACAGTATGCATGTGGAAGCACCAGCCGCACTATGGCACCACATTTAGCTCATCTTATCCATGTTCCCTCAGTTGCGTGCTGTCTTGCACTAGTTCTGAGCTAAACAAGTTGAAGAATAAAAATTCCCTCCAAGATAAATTGAGGAAAGGTACCAGATATGAATTAGTTCTGCTTTGCAGTGGCGCTTTATGAGGGTATTACTATGAAATCCTGCTGGTGCTCTGATGGCCTCCTACTTATGAGAGAACATCAAGCAGTAAGTCATAATAGACAATAAAAGCCTCATCCAACAGAGGGAGATGTAAACTCTAAGCTAGTTAAGAGCACCACCACCTGATGAAAATGAAAAGAGACCGTCAGAGAGAACTCATAAATGTATCCATATTTACATCCACATCCATTGTGCATTCTCTGAGGCAGTGATTTGTACTTGTAGGTTATGATCGACCAAACTTTGAATCTTAAATCTAGACAGCAACATCAGCTTCTGCTCTACATTTTCTTTCTCTTCAAGAGTATAGAGAGAAACTGAAGAGACAATCACAAAACAGCATTCAAGTGAAACAAGTAAAACACCTACAAATGTTTCTCACACTAAATATATTTTTAAAACAAGGGGTTATGCATCAAATTGAAGTTAGCATTTATTGCAGATTTATCACCAAGGCCCTTAAGTTGTTCACTGCACAAACCCCTTGGGCTGTGAAAATGTCACATCTGCTCTCTAGCAATAAAACAAAACTGTTCTGTTTAATATTGCAATTTAAAGTAGACTGACAAAAGGGAAAGAAAATGATGCTTCATCCTGGTATGACCGACTGCAGAGGGGATCTAAATAGCCGATGAGCGAGTTATCAAGACTTAAAACAAGAACAGCCTTCAATGCTCTGTAGTTACAAACCAACATATGAAACGCTTGGATCTAGCGCTGACTCCATAGAAACCAATCCGTAATAGAAGTGCTAACAATAGAAGGGCAAATTGTCAACATGTGTGCAATAGCAGAGGGAATTATTTTTCATAAAACAAATACCAGGCAAATATCTTCCCAAAGCAAACTGTTGCCACATATTCAGGCTTTACTCTCTGACTTTATATGTAATGAGTAAGAACACGCACAGCCCCAGCCTCCCAACCTTCTTTCCTTGGAGCACACCCTACTTGTATCTCAGAAAAGCTGGGAGCCCCAAGGACCAAATTGGAGTGAAAAAAAGGTGGCTTAGAAAAATGAACATCAGTTTTTAATATTTTTCATTGATAAAATCCCAACAGAACACACTTGCTCTTACCAAAAGACCTTTGTATAAACTATCCACTAATTGTTTAATAATTATTTAAGTCAATATGTTCAATTCTAATTTGGACAACCTCAAGAGCCTCGTGCCCCCCGAGATCTTTGGCCCATCACCCCAGGTTGGGAACCAATGAATTACAGTAGAGGCCAGATATTTTTAAAAAGCACATATGCACTTAATCAAAGAGGTTTTAGCAACCAACTGTAGTGCACACTAATTATCCACTGCATGTGTGCTAGCTTAATTATGACTTATAGATGAATAAGGTGGATTTAGCAGCACATCAAGGCACTGCATTAACTCTGCTTCAGAAGAGGTGAAAAGTATGTGAGAGTGACTGTTGAGAAACACATCTCTCCCTTTTCACCACCCAAAGGCTGAATGATCACAGCTCCAAATGCAGCACCCAGCTGGAACTGATATGAGGACAGGTCTCGGGGTGCGGGTAAGGGAGGAGAGCTGGGCTGGCGGTTGTCATGGCGATGCTGAGGTGGTGGCGTGAGCGAGCTATCCACAGTGGGTGACATGGCACATCCTGCAGCGTGCTGAGCGAATCATTGTCCATGCTTATCTGTGTGTCTGTCTGCACAGTTCAGGCTACTGAGTCACATTGATCAGGGAGCCAGGGACTCACACTGCAGACTGGGGAGTAGGGGGATTACATTTTTAGATGTGGGTGGGTAGATGTGCACAAGTGTCCCTCCATCAATGGAAGTGGGGCCTTTCTATGCATTTTTTTAAATGCGAATAAGGCTTTGAGAAAAATGGAATAGTGCAGAAACCACCCTGGAAAAGACAGCCTTGATCTCAGCAAAAACCTCCCTTGATAAACTGTCCATTTTAGGGTCAATCAATTTCCCTAGGAAATATTAATTAGGTGGATAGTCTCAAAGATGACAGATAAAAAGGAAAAGTGTTTTTAGAAATTCCCAAAGTTCAATGTGACATCCTGAAACCTGGTAATCATAAAATAAAAAACAAAGCTAATAATCTCCAAACTTCGAGCCTTTTTATGCTTAAACATAATAAAACTATTTATTTGACTATCAATTTATCAGTTGCTTATGAATTCCAAGTTTTTTTTTAAAAGGTTTAAGAACTTTCTCTTTTCTTTTCTGTAAGCACTTTGAATTGCCTTGTGGCAGAAATGTACAATAGAAATAAACTTGCCTTGCTTTTAATACCTATATTTAAATACCTACCAGCTCCTGTTTAGTTTTCTGAGGGAATAATCTTTGGAGCATATCCATGCAGAGTGTTCTGTGGTTTGGTACGTCAGGAGGAGTGTATAGAGACAAAGTGAACTGGAAGCGTTGGTGTTCATCTGCACACCAGCCAAAGAACCTGAAACAGATCAAAAATAATACCAGAAAATGACGTCATCCTTCCATTGTATCGCTTGACTTCATTATGCGAGGCTAGATTTGATCACTATTAATAGAAGCTAACATTGCTAAAAAGCGACCATATGGATATCAAAGTCAAGTAATGTAGTGGCTTTGACACACTGATACAATCAACCTCCCGCTGAGAAACACTTGGGTCTTTCAGTGAACTGAGTGTGCATCTATGTGCTGTTTATGTCCTGCTGAGTTTTTACTATCTTGATCTGCCAAGCTTTGCCAATAGACAGAATCATGTTATTAATGGAATATCTTGAAAAAATCTTATTTTATTAAGAGATAGAAAGATATGGTAGAGAGTGGCATCACACATATGTCATATAAGCAGCTGAACATAATTTTCTCATTCAGTCAAGGCCTACCTATGAGTTGTTTGCAGTTGCTCTCTGAGGTTCTGGATCCTGCTGTGGTACCTTTCTGCTAGGGACTGGAAGGTCTGGATTAGTGAGTCTTGTAGTTCTGGATAGGGGCAATCTGAATCCAAAACCTCCTCTGGAAGCTCTTCTATGTCCACAAGATTATCTGAAGTACCAGTTAAATATTTCTGCAGAGAAAAGTATCATGATCTTTGAGCTACAAGTTGTAGAGTTTAGACGTTCTTTTGGTGGGAACCTTTCAAGCTCAGGTGTAAGCTCTAATACAGACTTTAGATTCAAATGAGCTGAAACAGAAGGATGATATAGAAACAGAAGAGAGAAATGTACCTCCAATTCAAGGCCAGTGATCTCCTCCTCCAAGCCCAGGTACTCTGCATGAAGCTTAGCAGTGATGTTATCTTGCTGGCTTTTCACAAAGTGTATCTGGTAATAAAAGGATGACATCATAACAACAACATCTAAAATAGTTTAGAATACACACAGTTTTAATTTAAAAAAAAATCAAATATGACTTATTTTATTTTGCCAACTAGGCTTCCACGTCTGATATTTGAGGGAAAAGTTCATTTATTTTCTTTCATCATAAACAAATCTGTGTTTGCTGGGATCCACAGAGCAGACTCAAGAGATCACATCTATCAGCTGTAACTTTCTTCCTTCTCGTTATGCTACGTCTGCTCAGCGCATCATAAATGCTTGAACTCCCCAGTGTTCTCTCAGACATTTACATTCAGAAACATTTATCATCAGAGAGATCCAGTACATAGCAAGTGTTCAGTAACTGCTTCTTTCCCAAGATGTTACAGATCAGAGGTTGGAAAGGAGCTACTTAGGAATGGAGACAGGTTTTATCAAGTCCTTTGCACTATTTCTGTGTTTTAGAAAAAGCTACTTTTACAGGATGAAGTATGTGAAAAACAACAAAGGCAACGTTAACATATCCTTCTGATGTATAAAAGCAGAACAATTGGTTGTTGTTGTAGAAATTGAAGAAAGTCAGAGTGACATGCATACACTTCCATTTTCAAGGAAACACATTGTTATCGTTGTAGCACTGTCCCTGAACACATCTACAGTATCTCAGTTTGTTATTCCAGCACCTTGTTGTTGACTCATAGTGATCACATTTTTCTTTAAACATGGCTACAGACTCTACGGCAGACCGCAGCCATCGAAGGACACTTGACCATTGCTGTTTAGTACTTTCAGTTTACACAAAAAAACTTAACTGTTACACCACTGACACCAGAGTTAAGCACAACAGATGTATTGCTGGGACTCCTGGTGTACTTATCAGATGTAATTTACTGAATATTTTTCTGCAGTTTATGATGATTATGAATGATTACGAATCCAGCTAGATCAAAGTTTACTCTAACAAAACTGTTGGGATTTGCCCAAGATTTCTGCCTCTTAAAAGCAAGTTTTTTCTTGCCACTGTAACTTTTGTTAAATGTTGCTAAGTGCTACGCTCATGATGGATTATCGCTGGGTCTTTGTAATATAGCAATGAGTATGCTCTTTTTAACTGCTCTTTTGTAACATTAAATAATAAAGAGTAAGGTCTTTTATCTGCTTTTTGTAAAGTGTCTCGAGATAACACTTGTTATGAATTGGTGCTATACAAATAAAGACTGATTGATTAATGAGGTCAGTGTGTTTAATGGGAGACAAGGAAATGTATGTACAGAGATACCATATACTTAAGGGCTTTATATGCAATTTTTCACACTTAAATGTAATATAAATCAAGTATCTCCTCTGAAAATAACTCTGTGAGTCATGACTGTCTACAATGGGTGTAACACCCGAGTCCCACTGTCTGTGATGTTTTCAGAGTTTTCCAAGCTTTCCTAGCCGTAGCTTCACTTTGTTTATATCGTCGGGACGGCCGGCTGACTCCTCCCCTCATGTATAAAAGTTGTTTAATTGAGGGACTAGAGAAAAGAAGAATAACATACTGTACTCACTGATTAACTGTGTTTCTAGATCACGCTCATTTCAGGTAAATTTACATGCAGTGTGAAGATACGAGCATACTAAAGATCGCTAGCATTAGCATGCTAACACAACAATGCACTGCAAGTTGTTTTGGTTTCATGCTGGTGCTCAAGGGCGACATCTGCTGGATCAAAAAAACGCATATAAAGCCTTTAAATCTGATTTGTGCATGATAAAGATGGGCACCTAGACTGTAAATAAAATTAAAGAAATATAGAGTAAACAACAAAACAGTGTTATAAACAAAAAGTAGTATCAAGCTAAATATGGACAAAAAATCTATTCAGGGGCTCTGTTGGTGCAGTGGTTAGTGCGGGTGGCCCGTGTATGGAGGCCGCGGTCCTCTAAGCTGGCAGCCCAGGTTCGAATCCCACCTGTGGCTCCTTTCCCACATGTCATTCCCCACTCTCTCTCTCCCTGATTTCCGGCTCTATCCACTGTGCTGTCTCTCCATTAAAGGCACAAAAAGCCCAAAAATAAATCTTAAAAAATCTATTCAGAGTTCATGAACGATAAGCGATAAGGATCGCAGATGCAACAGGGAAGCATGACATCACTTAGCAGGTCAGTCGAGCTGTGGCTCTTGTTTGCAAAAGAAAAACTGGAGAACTTACTACTACTTCTACATTCTAGCTAGACAAGGAGTATGATTGGACCCTGAAGTAGGAGCAAGAGATAAAGAATGCCAGAGGCTTCAAATAACTGCATTGGTTCATTAAGCAGAAATACATCTTTATCATTATCACTGATTTAAAAAAACAACAACAACAACAACCCTGCAGTTCTCTCAGTTTTATCTTAAACATGACTGTTAATAAAAAAAAAATGGAATCAACATGCTGTTATTTTTTTAAAATCAGTTGTGGTAACGTGTCATGTGGTGAATTTCAGTCTGCCTGTCTCATTGTTATTTGTCTTTTATCAATAAGTTTTTAACTTCATGCAAATGTTTTCCAGACTCTTACATTCTTAATTAGAACAGTCAAGGTTGGATGTCTAATTAGAAACAGACCTAGAAGAGATCTGATTTGTTTTGAGTTAGAGAGCAAAGCTAAGCAGCAGAGTAGGTAAATAGTGCAAATGTTCAAAAGTCATGGGATTGAAATGAAAAAAAAAAAAAAAAAACCCAATAAGGAGCATCATTGCTGTGTGATGTTGTGTGTCTCTGTGTGAAAGGCAGGGTGAGAGGGGGGGTCCCATTGTGCCCATGATATCAGGTGGGTAGGGGCTGTGTGCCAGCAGGAGTAGAGGGGGTCATGGGAAAGCAACAAGCATGAGTGAGCCTCACAGAGGAGACAAAATGGCTGGCAGACGGCTCACTTCGAGTAAAGTCTGTTTTAAAAGACCCCTGCTTACTCCTTAATCTCACCATTCATCTCTGAGGCTTGCATAAAGACTCTGACAGTCAGAGGCAGAGTTTGTGACTCTGGTACCGGGGATATCTAACAAACAAGAGATTTTTGGACGGTGAATACCACGCCGTGTGCAAGCTGGGATCATTGTGTGAACATGCAGGACAGCTCAGCTTAAACTTCTGCTGGATGTGCACAACAGACTGTTTTGGTTTGGCAGGATTTATTGTTTAGTGCTTTGAGTGTACTGACAGAATTAAATACTAAAAAAAAAAAAAAAAAAGGTTGATGGCTGAAACGTTTCTTTTTCTTTTCAGTTAAAAAAAATATTCTGCTGTCCTTCTAAAAATTCAGCTTTGTAATCGATTATTAAAGTTACTATAGGGGATGGTAGACATTCAGACAAGTCTTTATCACTCAGATACCTGTTGTATAACTTGCTCCCAGTTTGATCCAGACGCATTGGACTGATGTTGTATTTCACCCAGTCTGAAGCGCAGGTCGTCCTTGAGATGATGAACCGGCTCCACAGTGGCTATCCTGAATGCTTCTCTTTCTCTCTCCAGGAGAAGTGCTAAACCCAAACAAAAAATAAAACAAAAAAGCCAGAGATTAGTACACAACTTCTCAACTCAAATACAGTCACTAATAACCATTCAAAGCTGTCAGTTTAGTTTACCAGATTCTTGGAGTGAGAAGGTTGCAGTGTCTGTTCTATCATTCGGCCTGATCATCTCCAGAAAATCATGGATGTCATCCTCAGCCTTCTCCCTGTTTCAAATACAATCACATTCAAGTATTTATTTAAATGAATTTAACATGATACAATATTTGACAGGCTAAAGGCACTTTCGGTCACTTTATCTCTGCTCACATTGTTTAAATTATACTAAATGAATATGTTTTGTCTGACTTAATTGTAAAGACAGGAGCATCATGGCTCTTAATCAAAGAATAGGAGTTACTTAGCTAATGTGTATTCGCAAGATATTCCAAAATACACTAATATAGCTTGTCTACAAACCCCCCATTTCTGAGAAAATTCCATCCTCTCCACTTTTTTCCTGCTAAAATTTTCAGAAAATATTTGCAAACAGGCCGTTTGAAGATTTTAAATACAACCAATGTTGGAAGAAGTTAGCATTGTTATATCATGAGGTTATATTGATACATTGATATGACAAAGTATCACTATAGCAGTGCATCTGGTCAAGGTGTGGAAAACTTTGACTATAAAGTCAGTTGCAACAACAGGTGTCAAGTGAATTTATTCGTGTGGAAAATACAACGTTGTATTGAAGTAGCATTGCATCTCTCTGATTGAGAGCCAGTGCACGGGAAGAAATACAGAAGCGCCTCTTCTATTCTTGTTCCACTAATAAAAGACCAAGGGCTGACAACACCAGTGCCATTTTAAAGTTTTTATCAGACATTATTCTCCATTAGAAGTACTTATATCACGAGTGTTGAGCAACAGGGGTGATAAAATATATCCGCGTTCTTCCTCGTCCTTTTCCAGTTTACCCTTTTTGGAATGCCGATTACAGACTACCGCCCCCTGCTGGTGTGGAGAGTTATTTCCTCTCACGCATGCGCAGAACGGTGGTTGGCCATCAGCTGTAGTCTTTGCGGTGTGTTCTAGTGCAACTTATTGGCCAAGACAAGAAGCGTCCTGAGCCGACGCCACAGGTGGCCTTCATCGCCACTAGTTCTTTGGTCTGCTTGTTGTGTCAGGGCCTTTAAATAACTGTTGTGGTTAGATGTAGTTGAATACAACACTTAAATAACTGTATTTGTTTTGTCCTCAATGCATTCTTTTGAAAACTCCCAACAACATGTTTTGATGGCACTGTGGACAGAATGGGAACATGTTTTTCCTTCAATCTCACATGACTGGTCTGGTCTATGGTATAAAACTTGTTTCCCATAGATATAACAATGACTTCTAAAACAGTCTTTTTCACTTGTCTCAGCTACTTTAGAAGACCTTTTTAACTACCGTAAATAAACAAAATCTGTATCCATGGTGATACATTATCAAATGATCTGCATGTTTCCTTTTTCAAACATATGAGTAAGTCAGCAATTGAAAAACAGTCCAAACAATTGGATACAGTAATAAGCTCATTTAAACTGGGTGAAGATGCTTATTGACATTTAACTCATACTTTTGGTGGAAATAAAAGGGCCCCAATGGATAAAGTGGAATGATCAGGGAACTTGAGATCAAACATCATCAAAATATTAGCAACTCATAATCCCTTCAACATCAACAGTGTGTCATCACAACATTAAGGAAAATCTTTGGTATGCTCAGTTAAGTCTGGTTCTAAAAAAAAAAGTTTTACACTGCCGTTTCAATGAGTCACTGTATGTGTGAGCAGTCAAACTTACATTAAATTTACAAGTAATGACAATCTGTCGCTGCTCAACAGATTGAGGACAAAAAAGTTGGTGAAATCAGGAAAAATCAAAGATCTTACTTCTGAGGATAGTAAATAACACAGAAGACAGGATGTGTTCTCCAAAAGACGTATGACGGTAAGAAAGGGTTGACATTACTGTTAATAAAGGAAGTGTTACCATAGCGATATCTTCATCAGATTCCTTTTTGACAACGTGGCTTTTGAATCCCATGGTAATTTAACTGGTTATATGCAAAGAGAGCTGCAAGCAGTGGCACATCTTTATGACTGGGCTCATTACTGAGGCTCACACTTGTGTACATCGTTAACCTTGGGTGGCTCAGACACAGTCATTACGCAGGCAAACAAGCTGCACCCCAGAGCTAACGCTGCCCTTCTCACTTCACAAGGCATGACACCGCTGGGGCCCCAGTCCCACACTTCTGCGTCAGCGCGTAGAGCGAGAGTACTTCTCCATTCAGTACCGACACAGCTACAACTCTGGACTTTCTGTTTCTCACCCTTAATTCAATGTCAGGGCTGCAAGAAAATCTACTTCCTTCTCTTCTTGTTTCACTTTTTTTTCCTGTGAGGCTTACTTTCGCACCTTATTTTTTCATTCAGGTTCCTGTCTGAGCTCAATCTTAATGGAGCTTAACTGGAACGGTTGCGTGGCATAATGGCAGAGTCAGAAAACTGCAGCAGATAATGACAGGGAGTAAAAGGGGGCTCTTACTCAGCTTTTTGCAGCCTGGGGCACTCTCTGCTCCACACCTGTCTGTGCTGCCGTAATACGGAGCTCTCCTTGGTCGCCTTGGCTGTACAGCGAGTTTTCTGAACCTATAAGACAAAGGTTTAATGCACAGTGAAAATAAAAGCACTGAAAAACAATAACTCGGGTGTTTACTTTGGATGCATTTAAGCTGTGGTATTTATCACCTCCTATGAATAATTAACTTCATCAGGACAAACCTTTATATGGAGGGCATTAATGCATCAGGACCATATTAGAAAACTGAAAATGGCATAAGAGTTGCAAGAATGACTATTATGTTTGTGTGCAATAGATAAGAACAAGTTGTTCCCCCACTCAGCACATTAAGGGTATTTTTATACAAGCATTTACCTCAGCCCTCTATTCGTACTATTGTGTATTTGAGCAGCTCATAAACTTAGGTAATTCAACTGGAACCACGGCTAAAGCGTTACAGCAACATAAACAGCTGCAAATTAAAACAATCAAGTAGGAACATGCATGGCGCGCATGAGGCATGCTATTATGAAGACGGGGGAGGTGGGGTAGAAATCTTAATCTACTCTCATTTGTTTTCCTTTTTGATCCTGAAAGAACAAGGCACATTCAGAGTCCTCTCCTATCAGTGTTTTCATACACAGGCCACTGGCTCAGTTAATTAAAACTCACATAACTAATACATGGGTACAGTCATTTGTATATAGTATCCATATATAGTAAATATCATGAGGGTGTTTTTATGTTTTTACTGCCTATCTACGTGTCATTTGCTGTTCAGCTTCAGTTGAAGCAAAAGAAGTTTGAATATATTGCGCTAAAGATTTACCCTTGGGGTGATACTCATTTTATAGTTATTTGAATCAGCAGTCAGTGTGAAAGTACTGCTGCTCTGAAAGAAAAAGGCAGAATTGATGTCATCCCAGTCCTCTTCCAGGCAATGAATGGTAGGTGATCTTAATTTGCATTGGCTGTCTAATAACTCAGCTGAACTACAAAAACTGTGCCTGGAGCGAAACTTCCATCAACTCGTTTCTAGTCTCATTGTGCCAAATAAAACAACCATCAATACCCCCCTTGTAAATGTAAAAGTAACAATGAAACCAGTCCACTTCTCGTCATATTTATTGAAAGATGAAATGTATTCAATTCAGTGACCACTTATTCTTTTTCAATCATTTGTTATCACGTCAAACATTCCATAATTCTACAATTCACTTAGCAGACACTTTTATCCAGTGACGTACATCATATAGTTATATTGGCATAACTTTCTCTTACTTCTAATTTTTAAATGGTAACATATGATTCATTTTATTTGAATGCAGGACAGCTTTAATAATGCACCTCCCTCTATTTGAGTACAGTGCTGTGGGTTAGAGATCTTCTCAAGAGGTACAATTTTAAGGTTCTAGTATCTCCTAATGCTTCCAGTCATTTCCTGAAGAGCAAAAATGATCCCATGCTTGAGGCCACTTATGGTCATTTTTTCGACACTCTTTCGTGTCGCCAACGGTTGATGCTCAGAAAGCTTGCCTTTCAGCAGGCCGACCATACGTGAACATAATCTTATCTGAGTTATGCAGAGAGCAGGGCTGGAAGGAGCCATGTGCGATCATAGTGATACTAAAACACTTCTGCCACAGTTTACCAATTAAAACACCGCAGGTCTAACAGCCTTATCTTCACTGCCCGTAGCATTAACTTTTTGCTCTGCTCAGGGTTGACTATGAACTTCAATCAGTTTTATAGAAAAAACTCCAGGCAGCCCAATGAATATTCAGTAAACTGGAAACACTATCGTGCAGTGATATTACTGTGTTCTGTTTCATGTGCTTAAATAAACTATAAGGTTACGCAATGACGGCGTGGTAGTGGTATAAGTGGTATAAAATCCATTTACATCATGTGGAGTTTAAGAGAGATAAAATAAAGATCAATAAACAGAGAGAATTGATGCTTTTTCCTTCAATTAAAGTCATGTGTATAATTAACTCAAATTACAGTTAGGGGTTTGCTTGTCCTGAGATTTATGAGGACGGTTTGCTATAAACTCTTCTTCATCTGCTGCTGAATCACCATGTAATGAACTTTAACAGGGATTGATTTTATAATAAAATTGCTGTTTTAAACAGGGGCATGAGATTGATTACAAATAAAAAATCACCTTTTGTCCAATTAGATCAGACTCCAGGCGCTTGGCATCAACGATGGCTTGTAGTCTTTCATATTCCGCCGGTTTGTACTTTGAGCTGCCGAGACCATTTTTCATCCGCACTGTCAGTTTCTCTGCATGGGCGAAAGCAAATGATATGGCTAAATGAGGATCATTGGAATTGTTGAAAAACTCATCACTCTTAAGTATCTGAAGTATAGTATTTACGCTGACATCAGCAAAGAAAGAAAGAGGTAAAGAAAGGGAACACCACCGGCTGAATGTGTTGGATTGTAAGCGTAATTCAGAAATGACTGCATAGAAGAGGGTTAAGTTTGAAGGGGGTAGCAGAGAGTAAACAAACTGTGTCAGACAGTTTTTTAAGAGTTCAGCTGTGACCCATAGGGGCAGGTGAATAAACACAAGCAAGGCTGCCTCTGACAAAAGCATCAAAGACTTGACAGTACAAGAAGAATTCAAGATGGGGACAGGTTAAGTCTGTTCAGCAGATCAATGGGCCACTATGTCACAAGTCAGCAATGTGTCAGGCCTAGTTTGTACTGACTTACCCACATCTTCTGCTCTGTAGTTTATAACAAATGCATGCAGATCCTTTCCACTCATCATAAAGGAGCTGCATTTGTATGCACTACAGTTCCTGCAAAATAAAGACATACTTCATTTTTTATTTTTTAAGTCTGAGATATTACAGAGCTAAATGAAAGACACGCTTTAACTTGCACGTCTACCTGGCTTTAGTGGAGTAATTTAATTGATTAACAGGAAAATACTAGCCAGAAGAAATAAAGCAATGAGAAACTAAACTTTGCCATCAAGATCTGCATGATAGTGCTAGAAAATCAGTTGACTCTCACAAGTTTCAGTATTTGAAAGGTGACAGATGGTGCGAGAGTGTGACCTGATATGCCTTTGGAGTCTGGAACATATTTTGACTTTGCTTTGATTCAAACTTCAGGAAGAAAAAAAAGGTTTTGGCCACACGGACATTAATTAAGATTAACACTGTGAAACAGAATGGAGGAACTGATTTAATCTCTGAGTAATATTAAGGTGCTTTGTTCTAGATCCATTGAAGATAATTGCTATTCTTAGTCTAGCAGACAAAAAGGCTTCTTTTTTTACGCAGAAAACAAATTATTATATATAATATGAACACCAAATGGAAGTTAATGTTGGGTCACCTGGATATAATAGCTGCCAAACATAAGCCTTTGATTTTCTTTGTTATAACTGTCTTCACTCCAGAGAGACATAAACTAGTAATGAGTACACACTCATTAGAGGGCCAATAATTTAATTGAAAAAAAAAAAATCAGACTTTGTTGTTATAATCCATCACTTATATCAATTAACTTCGTTGTTTTGTTTCAGATGCTATAAACCGTGTTAGTCCTCTGTAAACTTAAAAAGCCTGCCTTTGGATCATCCACTCTGTACAGTTTGATCAAAACATAAAGGTGCTTTTCACAACTTATACATTATGAAAACGAGTGACAGCCAAGCAGAACTATATAACTAGGGAACACAAACTAATGCAGACACTAATGCAGTAAAAAAAAACAGGTGAGCTGGAAATGTGTTATGGATAAGCATCTAAGATAAGATAATCCTTTATTTATCCCACAACGGGGAAATGTACAATGTTACAGCAGCAAAGAGCAAGATTGCAAACAGAAAGTGAACACAGTACAATTTAAATAAAAAAAATAAAAATTAAGAATGTACAAAAAAATAGATAGATACTAAAAATAGATTTAAAATAAAAATAAAAATGGTATCTTGTCAGTAAGCTAACAAGCTAACTATTCTAAACACAAAAGCCAGAAGAATATTTGAGACCAATATTGAGAATAGAAACGTTGCTGAGTTTAACAGAACCTCGTAAGATAACATAAAGCGACACAGGTAACTTGTATCAAGTCTGCTTTACATGTAAAATGACTTTAAAAATAACATTTACCCCACTGAACCCTAGCTTACCTTGTGCTATCCCTCTCTGTGAAGTTGACAAAATTTGTAACCAAGGAAACTATCATCTCCTCTGTCATTGGTTCATTCAACAATACGAACCTCCTTGGGAACGCCCCTTGCCACCGTCGAAACCAATCAGGAGTGTGCACTGCTTTCCCACTTTCCCACTGACGTCATGCCCGCTCGCATTGCCTGGGACTGCTGTGTGGAAGCAGGGAGCAGCGAAGGGGTCGTCCTCCTCTTCTCGGCTTGTAGCTTTATGGAGGCGCGTTTCACTCCTCCACATGCATGGGACTAAAGGACTGGACTTAACCGGTGAACTAACCTGTACTAATGCAGAACCGAGCCGCAGCTCAGCCAGCTTAAGAACAGTCCTCTTAAGGTATGTAAACTCATTTTCCCCCGCTGCTTCACTAACTGCGGAATAATTGGGGTTGGGAAAAAATAAAGGAATTTGTGCGCAAGGAAGGAGGCTTCCTGAACTCAGAAAGTCGAGAATTCACTGTGTGAAGTAAAGAGTTGGCTCTTCACGTATGCTTGTAACGCAGGGCAAACTTATTGAGGCTTCTTCACAGCGGGAGTGAATCTAACACTAAGCTAATCTTTTTCTTGTGACCGAGTCATCGCCAACAACGCACACCTTTGAGGGACCTTCAGGCGCTGTCTTCCTTATCGTGCTTTTTACCGTTTGGACGAAAACTCAGGGGTGAAAAAATGCTTCGGCCTCAGTTTCCTGTATCAAAAAACACAGTAACTCACTTTTCTCGGTTAATGTCCTTGAAAGCGTGTTGTTAAAAGGTGAATGAAAAGGCAGGTGAGCTTACAGTGTGAGAATCCCTGGAATGCGAGGTCGCCGAGGGGCGGAGATCCAGTCTCTTTACTCCCAACACATGAGCTTACCTTTACCCTCACGTTTTACGAGGTACATTGAAATTACGCCATATTTAATGACCCTGATCTGCATGTAAAGATGGTGCGTTTCTTTTAATTGAATAGTCATTACTTTGTACTGTGAAATAATAACAAAAACATTTAACTTGTATTGACTAAGAAGCTGTAACATAGATATTCAAATTACCTGACCTAATGCAGTATTTGAGCCTGGTTAATTAGCTGGGGAGCTGTTACAAATCCAATGTCACTCACTCAGGATTTATAGTCTTACACAAGGCACATGTCCTTTACCTTGCTCTACTTTGGTTTTAAAGGCAGGTCTGATTTCTAACAGAATGTTTTGTATGCCACACCAAATCAATGTCTCAGTCTTCAATAATTTAATAAGCAGTTGCTGTTGTATGAACTGTTACTAAAGTCCTAATATAAGAAATGCCATAGCAAGGAGAATAGAGCATTTGATTCTACTTCAATCCATCTGCAATGTTGCAGTCTGGCTAAGATTAAATAAAACAAAAAAAAGAAGGAAGCATTTATTTATTCTGTCATATTCACCTGAGGTTATGTCTCATACTCACCAGGCTTTCACATAAACGATGATGGCATAGGGAGCAGTGTTTTAAGACTCTTCCTGTTGCCATGCAGGTGCAGAAAGGTTATCTTCCTGCATCACTGATGTGAACATGATCATGCAAGATTTTCACCAGGCAACAGAATAAGTTCATATGGTAAATGTGAACTCACTCACTCTTTCTCACACATACCCAAGAGGAATCACTCTGTTACTCCCCTTGTGATTCACATTACCACACTAGATACGCGCTGCCTGCCACACAGCTGACTTCCATTCAGGGTGGTTTAAGTGTGGAACTGGAAGGACAGCAGGATGTTGGATTTAAGAGTAGAACTCTCCCTCAGGTTTTATGTTAACATTTTCTACTGATTATCCAAATCAGTGTCACTGGGTTTGTCACACCGTGAGATATTAAAGCGGGTCAGAAATCCAGCCAACATGACAGTTTTATCTGTCCTTCCCTTTTTACTCCTGCTCTGCAAGACAACAAAACATGTTTTTGAATTCTATTTTGTACTGGTTATGGAGACATTAAGATTATTATGATACAAAATAAGAAGATTGTTTGCATGAAGAACATCCTTGTGTCTTAGAAGAGAGACCCACAGAAATGCCCGCAGAAGTTCTTTTGTATGTCATTGTGTTTGTTTGACTCAGTCTTCACGGTGAGTCCTTTTAAATGGAAACTGACAACAGTTGAATAGTTTAAGCACCCTTTGGCGGGCCTCCTCTCCTTGTATTTTTTTCACTCCCTAAGTCTGGTCCGACATCAAGGCTTAAGCCCTCACCCCTGCGTCGGGCGACATGTCAGATTTACTTTTTTCTACCATGATCAAAAAGTATTTTTCCCCCTCTGTAAAGAAAGGGAAAGTTTTTTCCAGTTTTCGCCTCACAGCCGTTTTGCCTGGGAACAAAATGGTTATCAGTCTTGTGTGGTGCAGTATGTGCATGCCTGTGTGTATTGAAGTAAAGTGCTGGAGTATCAACCTCTTTCCTCAGTCAGGCAAGAGAAGGTCAGCATCTCTTGTTCACAATTCAATCAAGAGTCAAGTACTCTTAGATGTAGAGCATTTGCTGAGTGGCAGTAGGCTTTTGTGTTTTATTTACTGCTCACAAACCCTTGAAAGTATCTATTATAATATCAGTGTATTTGTAACTTTAATGCAGAATAAACACGTATACAAAACCACTAACATCATAATAACAAAAAAAATGTATGATTGATAGTCTTTGTCTACATGACACTAGTGAATCTCTTACTGGATGATTTAAGAGATTGTATTTTAATGCAAATTTGTGGTTGAATAGTGTGGTAGATGTTGAATGAATATTTTTGTGCGTGTCTGGGAAGGACTCACAGCCATTGTGGTGAAATAAGAAGAGCCTTTATTCACACACTGTAGTGGAAAATCTTCTTTTTTTATTGAATCCCACATGCCCCTCACAGCGTCTTTCCCTCCACATTTGCATGGTGAGGTCTTAAGAGAGTTTATATTTCTCTCCCGCCTCCTCTGAGAACAAACATGTGCCTGATAGGGGATTTATTTTGTGAATATGTAATATCTGTATTTGATACATCATTCTAGAGACTTAAGGAATAAACCAATAAGCAGACAGATCTCTTTTTTTTTCATTTTTAATATGTTAAATACATTTCTAAGATGGTATTAGTATCTAGGAGGATATAAAGCTTAACATGAATCACTAACTTGCAGTCTAGCCTATTCCTCTATTAAATGGGCTTTTCTATAATGATCAAAGTATTTTTTTTAAAGCATATTGCAGGTAAGAGCGTTCAGACTTGCAAAGTCCTCTCTGCATAAGCCATAACATGTGCGGCTGCTGGCTGATTGTTGATCTAACTGGATATGTAGATAGATTCCTGAAAGAGCCCCAAATTTCATGCTTTGGTTGGATCCCGGACAGCTAAAGATAATACAGAACACAAAGCATGTCAGCGCTTTTAGGGATTAGGCGCACAATAGATTTTTGTCCGGTAAAATAGCCCTCCATAGGCCTGACATGCTGAGTGTGAGAGACGGCCTCTCACCAGTGTCTGCTGCTGTTTTGGAGACTTCCTACAAGCTCCTGGCTCAAACAATCCCGTCTACCTGAGCCTATCTGTCTGCAGAATTACCTCAACAGGGCACGTAATACCTTGTTGAATATTTCAAAGTGCTACTCACATTATCAC